TGCGTAGGCTTCCTAGATCGGGATGACTTAAGATGTCCTTTCCCACAGACGGCGCCAAATGTTTATGAAAAGAGTTGCACAACGCTGTTCTATGAACCTAGCTCGAACCCGGTCCTTGGCTCGACCTGAACCCAAGAGTGAACCTGCACAAGAGGGTAAACTCTCCGACGCTCAAGTCAGTATAGATCGGACTCCGTATTTAGTTCGAGGTGAGATTTCATACCTGAGCGTGAAATGAGGCCTTTTATTTATAGGTGGTGGATCTGACAGTACACACGACCGGCGGTTATATATTTTTTCTCATATCGGACCTGTCGGGTTCCGAGTAGATCGAACCCCAAACAGATCGGACTTCGGCATGCATACTTAGCCTGTTCCCGATGGGTGAACCCGACCTCTTCGGTAGGGCCGAGGTGGACCTGGGATATTTAATCCTTGAACACTAGTGAGCGTCCTCCACGTGTCCAAGGTATTCTTACCCCCAAACATGAGAGATGACAATTTTTCATCCCACGTACCACTGTATAGAATTATGATTAATACATAATCCATTGTCGTAAAGAAAGAAAGGGATCTTAGAAGAAGAAAATACAGTAGAACAATAGTAGAAGGATGAGATAGGAGGATGTAGAACAATTGCAAATTATTTAAATTAACTAAAATTCAAAATAAAATAATTAAAATAATTAACTAAAAATCCATTGAAGGTACGAAACACAATTTAAATTCAAAACCAAGTTTGTTAGGTGGGTAAATATAAAGAACTTCCAAGAAACACCATTTAAATTCAAAACCAAGTTTGTTATTTGGATAAATATAAGGAACTTCAAAAAAAAACATGAAAAGGAAAGGAAATTGTGGAAAAATCATTATATTTTGTAAAATTACTAAAATATTTTTGTGTAAAATTAAAAATAAATGAACATTTTTTAAAATATATACCAAATTTAGCCACCCACCCAAAATTCCCCTTATAAATAGCCAAGAGGTATTATTAAACAACAGGTATTTTTCTTTTTCTCTTTTCTTTGGACATTTACAACAGATTTTTCAACATTAATAAAATAGCATCTTTGGATTGCATTATCTATTTAGTACATATTTGAAGAAATAAAAGATTTCTTGTAACTCATATTTTTTGGGTTAATATTTGCTTTCAGGTCGCATAAAATTAAAGCTAAAAAATGGATTACATTTCACTCACTTTACTGCTTGCTTTAATTGGAGCTTAAAAAATGAAAACATGAAAGAAATTTAAAAAGTAGAAAATGGAGAGGTTTTTCTTTTTATTTTTATTTATCTTTATTTATCTAATTTCCCTTAACCCTCAAAGAAAATTCTCTTTTGCAAAATATTTGTTTATCTGAAAGAAAAAAAAACTTTTTTTTTTTACCTTTTAATTAGAATTTTGAGAGTTTTAATTAGATATTTGATGATAAATGCTTATGTTTGGCTTTATCATCGTGCTATACTTATATTTGTTTTTCGATAATTATTTTCGATAAATATAAATGCTATAAAATTTTGACATCTTATATAATACAAAAAAGCTTTTATATTACTTCTATCACTATTGTAATTTTGTGATAGATGACCTAAATTATTTTGTCTCAATGATCTCAGTATATATAGCTAGATTGATTAAGTCATACATTCCCGACATCCACGTACCAAAGGTTGGAATCCCCACATCCACGTACCAAAAAAAAAAAACACTATTATCTCTCTCTTTTTGAGAAATTACAGTGGGTAGCAAAAATCTTTTATGTATTTCAAAATATGTCACTCATATCAATAGTATATCAGTAGTATATTAGACACTTATATCAGATGTATATTAGATATATATCAAAGTCATATTGCACAGACACTCATATCACTAGTCTATCATACGTATATCTCATACATATTATAAGTATATCAGACACTCATATCAGTATTATATCACACACACATATATATATATATATATATATCAGTAATCAGATATATTATAGATATATTACAGATATATTATAGATATATATCATTTGGGTAAAGTTGTCGTTTTAAAATTGGGCCTCCATTTTTTTAACTGCTATATTAAAAAAAAAAACTAAATGTGATTGCTATTTTTCTAATTTTACTAAATATTTTTGCCATATTTATAACTACTTTTTTTTTTCTTTTTCCTTTTCTTTCAAAGAGTTTGCTGTGTTGCTTGATTTTTTTCTCTATGAAGTTGGCTTAGTGTTAAAATCATTATCGATGGAATGTTATTTATCCTCATATTTTCTAGGTCTATTCTTCTTTATTTCCTGTGTGTAATAGTTTGTTATTTTACTCTGCCTCCACGTGTAGAGGCTCATTTGCTTTATATTATGAGCCTTTCTTCCTTTTCTCATAATTGAAGATTCTATTCTCGAATTGTACGGATTATTTTCTCTACCGTCTTCTTTACGGTATCAGAGCTATAGGCTCTTCTTTTTCCATGGTGTTAGATGCTTCTTCTTCATCATCTGGACAATTAACTCCTATTTCTACCCCTTCTACTCCAATACCAACACCAGTAGTTACTCATCTACAACAAAATCAGTTTAGACCAGTTACGTCCGTTCCTCAGCCGATTATCCCACCATCACTTAATCCTAATGCACAAACCATTGTTCCTCGCCCATCTCTACAGCAAAATTCCTATTACCCACAAAATCCTTATTACCCACCAAATCCCTACTATCCACACAACCCCTTTTCTTCGATTCCACAAAATTCATTTCGTCCTATTTCACAATCATCATACCCACAACCTCCTCCGTCTACTCCTTCATATTATAACCAAAATGCATAGCGTCATCCATTTACAGCCCCAACCCAATCCCCAATATCCAAACCCAACCAGTCCAGATACAATTTCAAGCCCCACCACAACACTACTTTCCTCCACCACCAAATCCACACTCTACAAGCATGTTTCTTACTTTACCTTAGCCTTTGAGTGTCAAATTGACTGATACAAATTTTCTTCTCTAGAAGAATCAACTTCTGAATGTTGTTATTGCTAATGGACTTCGTGGGTTTCTTGATGCGACGGTTTTTCCTCCACCACAATTTCTGGACCAGCAAAGACTTCATCTGAATCCAGATTATTCTCTTTGGGAAAGGTACAATCACATCCTTATATATTGGATTTATTCTTCTTTGTTTGAACAGATGATGGGGAAAATTATATCTTTAGAGACTGCTTCTGAAATTTGGTCTTCTCTTAATCGTGCTTATGATTCTAAAACTACTGCTAGAATTATGGGGTTGAAAGCACAATTACAGAGTATTAAGAAAGATGGATTATCTGTGAGTGAGTATCTTTCTCAAATAAAAGAAGTTGCAGATAAATTTGCTGCCATTGGTGAACCTATCTCATATCGTGATCATTTGGCTCATATACTTGATGACTTAGGCACTGAATATAATGCTTTTGTAACATCTATTCGAAATAGAGTAGATTCTCATTCTTTAGAAAATGTTCGCAACCTTCTCTTGGCTTATGAAGCACCGTTGGAAAAACAAAATATTGTGGATTAGCTTAATATTGCCTAAGCCAATCTCTCAAATCTTTCTTTTCAACACAATAACAAACGTCATTCTCCAAAGGCTTTTTTTTTCTTAATCAGTCAAAAACATCATTTCCACACCTTGTTTCCGCGGCACAAATTCCTCCCAGTATTTTTGGTAAGCCTCAATCTGTCCACAAATGACATTCTAAACCTCCTGGCCCAAAAATCCAATGTCAAATATGTGGAAAATTTGGTCACTCCGCTACTGTTTGTTATCATCGAACCAACCTTGCTTACCAATCATCTTCACCACAAACCCTATATCACCATACTCAGCCCAACCTTGTCCAACAAACACTGATTCCTCTTCGATCACACATGAGTTTCAACATCTATATGAAGGTTGGTTTTTGGACTTTGGAGCTACTCACTATGACTATGGATTCTTCAATTCTCTGTAACCCAATATCTTATAATGGTGGTGAAGAAGTCACAGTGGGAAATGGTAAGAAAATTTCTATTTCAAATATTGGTTCTTCTGCTTTATCTTCCTCTCATAGGTCTTTTTTTCTTCATAATGTCTTTCACACACCTACAATTTCTAAGAAATTAATTAGTATTGCTCATTTGTGCAAAGATAATCAAGCTTTTGTTGAGTTTTACTCTTCTTTTTTCCTTGTTAAGGATCTTTGGTCCAAGATGGTTCTTCTTCGGGGATCGCTTGATGATGGTTTATATAGTGTCACTTCTAACTTAATAAGTTCTTCTGTTGGCTCCACTCCTTTAGCTGCTGCTTTTTTATCTTCTGTTCAATCGTCTCCAAATTGACATTTGTGTCTTGGACACCCTGTTGCTTCAGTCTTGCAGCAAATTTTGTCTCTTTGTAATTTGTCCTTGTCTAAAGGTCATGCTAATACTTTTTGTATTTCTTGTCAGTTAGCTAAAAGTCATCGTTTGCCTTTTTCTTTGTCCATTACAAAAACTACCGAACCTTTTCAAATGGTTCATTTGGATGTATAGGGCCTTTCCCCTCAAACTTTAATTAATGGAGCTCATTATTTCCTATTATTTGTTGATGACTTTACTCGCTTTTCTTGGCTTTATTTACTTAAAAGTAAGGATGAGACGTTTCCTTGTTTTCGGAACTTTAAATCCCTTGTTGAGACTCAATTTGGAAAATCTATAAAATGACTTCAAACCGATTGAGGTGAAGAGTTTTGATACGTCTCTTCCTTTTTAAACTCCAATGATATTTTTCATCGTGTTTCTTAACCCTATACACCCCAACAAAATGGGAGAGTTGAGCGCAAAAATTGTCATGTTGTCGAAATGGGACTTTCATTACTTGCTCATTCTCACTTGCCTTTATCTTTTTGGAGCTTTGCCTTCCAAACAGTAGTTTTTTTAATTAATAGGTTACCTACCTCAGTTCTTAACTCTCTTTCCCCTTATCAAAAGTTATTTAATTCTATCACAGATTATCATTTGCTTATAACCTTTGGTTGTGCTTATTTTCCTTTTGTTCGCCCCTACAATACACATAAACTTCAGTTTCGCTCCAAAGAGTGCATCTTCATTGGTTATAGTTCCAATCATAAGGGTTATTTATGTCTCGATCCTTCATTGGGTAAAGTTTATGTGTCTCGTCACGTTGTTTTAAATGAATCTGTCTTTCTTTGCGCTTCCAAGTCTTTTTCTTTTTGACCCGTCAAACAAACTGCGCCTAGTTCTACTTCTTTTACTCCCATACCTTTCCCAATTTTACCAATATCCTCCCCTGCTTCCTCCCTTATTTCTATGAGTCCACCATTTCCTCCTGACTTTTTTTATCTTCCTCCAACACTATTCCTACAACAACCCTTTCCACTAATGTTTCACCTTCCTCCAACAATACTCCTACAAAAACCTCTCCTGGGTTACCTCCCGTTCCACCGTAACCAATACTACCCATCCCTTACCTATAAACACCCATCCTATGATAACAAGAGCTAAGGCCGGTATTTCTAAACCCAAAGTTCGGTTTGCTTCCTCTGCCCTTTCTACATCTCTTCCAGTTGAGCCTACAACTTTTAAACAAGTTGTAAATTGTGTTGAATGGAAAGATGTCATGGCTAGGGAATTTCAAGCTTTGGTAACTAATGGCACTTGGGATCTTATTGAACCTTCACCCGGTAGAAAAGTTATTGGCTGCAAATGGGTATACAAACTTAAGTTAAAATCGAATGGTGAGATTGAGGTTATAAGGCTCGTCTTGTGGCACGTGGGTTTGATCAAGCTTATGGAATTGATTATTTTGAGATGTTTAATACAGTTATTAAACCAGCCACTGTTCGAGTTGTCATTTCCTTTGCAGTTCAATTTAAGTGGCATATTCGCCAACTTGATGTTCACAATGCTTTTCTAAATGACGATCTTCAAGAGGAGGTGTATATGATTCAACCCCAAGGCTTTGTCGATAAAGATAGACCCTCCTATGTTTGCCGATTGCGTAAGGCCTTATATGGTTTGAAACAAAGCCCTCATGAATGGTTCTTAAAACTTAGTACATGTCTTCTTTGGTGGAATTTTGCGGCTTCTAAATCTGATACGTCTATGTTTACTTACAACAAGAATTCTATATTGGTTATTATTTTAATATATGTGGATGATATCTTAGTGACTGGAAAGGACTTGAAATTTATTCAGCAGTTTGTATCTTCCTTGAATTCTACTTTTGCGCTGAAAGATTTGGGTGAGCAATCATATTTTCTAGTCATGCAGATAAGTAGAAATGATGGTTATTTACACATGTCTCAGTGTAAAATGATCTTCTACAGAGAACTGAAATGACAAATTACAAACCTACTGACACTCTAATGGCTGCTAATAAGACTTTGTCTCTCACAGATGGTGAACCCTTTCATGACCCATCTCTCTATAGAAGCATTGTTGCTGCTCTCCAGGATTGTGCTCTCACTCGCCTGGACTTAAGCTTTTGTTTATAAAGTATGTCAATTTCTTCATGCTCCAACTAAATAACATTGGCTTGCAGTCAAGAGAATTTTGTGCTATATTAAATGTACAACTCCTCTTGGGATTACTTTTACACGATCTTCCCATCTAGCTCTGACTTGTCACACAAATGCTGATTGGGCTAGTTGCCCAGATGATAGGTGCAATACTAGTGGGTTTTGTGTTTTTTCTCGGTAATAACTTGATATCTTGGTCATATTCTAAACAGAAAGTTGTCTCTAGATCTAGTGCCGAGTCTKAATACAGAGGGATGTCCAATGCTATTGCCGAGCTTATTTGGCTTCAGTCTGTGTTATTCGAAATTGGTATTTCTTTGCCCTCAACTTCTTTACTTTTGTGTGATAATGTCAGTGCTACTTACTTGGTTGCAAATCCAGTTTTACATAAACGTTCAAAGCATATAGAGATTGATCATCACTTTATTCGATAGCAGGTGCTTCGTAAACAATTATTAGTTTGGTTTGTACCATCAGAGGACCAACTCGCTGATATCATGACAAAGCCACTCCCAACACAAAGGTTTCATAGTCTACGGACCAAACTTACTGTGCATGGCCCAGCTTTGCTTGCGGGGGATGATAGAATCTTATTTATCCTTATATTGTTTGGGTCTATTCTTCTTTATTTCTTGTGTGTGATAGTTTGTTATTTTCTAACAAATACTTTGGCTCCACGTGTAGGAACTCATTTGCTTTATATTATGAGCCTTTCTTCCTTTTCTCATAATTGAAGATTCTATTCTCAAATTGGAAGGATTATTTTCTCTACTGTCTTCTTTAATGATAAATGATATATCTCAATTATGCATGAGAACTCCTCTATTTGAGGTGAACCCCCACAACAATAATAAGAATAACCCCAATAACAAGATGATGAACCAATCCCAAGAAAGTTAAACAGATTTATGCTTGGTAAGATGATCAAAGATCAAGAAGAAAAGAGAACTTGTTCTTATCTTCAAGATTTCGAACTCTCCACAACCTAATTGATCAAACTAGATTGAAAGTT